CCCTGGAACCTTCAGGTTAGTTATGATTTTCATTTAAATCTCGCATCCCCTTCACCTCTAAAGGCAGTCACATCCTACACAGAAAAACTAACAACAGAAAAAAGCAGTACCTCCCCATCTACAGGACAGCCCTGCACAAATTTCAGAGCCAGTAAAAGCTATCAACTAATGGTAGTGCTTCAGGTAACAGCTACCTTTATCAAAAAGATTACGACGCAGAGAACGAGGTTCATAGAGTGAAAGGTGCATGTTCAGAAGGATCTGGTCCATTTCTCAAAGGCTCCAAACCAGTGTGCCTAACACTAATGGCAAATCCAGTATCTACATGTTTTTATTAAGTAATTACCTCTACTTATACTAATTATGTAATTGAGAAGTGTAATTATTAAATTATATCTAGCTACATATAACAAAGTGGAATAACATTTGTATCACAAGTCCTGCCAGAAGCCTCCCACATGCACGCATGCACTGTCCTACAGTTAAATAAGATTAAAAGCATGCAAACATTTGAGACGTTCAATTTAGGGAGGAAAGTACCCCCCAATACACAACTATGCTATCCTAACCTTTGTTGTTCGCTTTTTCCATTGGTTGATAGGGAAGATTTGAGACCGTGGGCGGAAAACTTAAAGTTAAAATCCTCACTACAGAGCTTTTGTTCACCATGCAGCGTGAGAACCCATTCTCAGCTGGCTTTGCCCGGTCAGGGTTTCAGCCTGGGTGAGTGCAGAAGAAGGTGCTGTTGCCTCTTAAGTTCTAGTGTAACCTGGAGGCAAACAACGCACTTCAGCTTCTTAAATGTGGGCAGCAGCAGATCAGCTCTTACAAGCAGCAGTTCTCACCAAGTGCTTGACAGTCTGTCCTGATTCCTGGGTCTTCCACTGTTTGATGGGATCACAAGTGACTGCAGTGGGTGCCCGAGGGTCTCAGGCTTGCCATCCCCACGAACAGAACGACCTTTTACTGCAGAGATGATGTAGATTTCAAAATGCTGAAATCCAAAGCGAAGGCCAATTGAAATGCAGTGAACGTAGGTTTGATTGGCAGCTTTCCTGCGTCTGTCTATCACTGCGTAATAAACACTGGGTGATGGCAGAAATGAAGATAAATGCTTTCAGCAGCCCCCCCTTCTCTTAACAAAGACTTAAAAAGAAATCCTCAAATCTTTTCTTATAGGCCACCTACACGTGACAGATATTTATCCGTCAGTCTCAATCCCCTCAGAGGGTCCAACTCATCTTGGCATGTGGAGAAATGAACCTTTGCCAGTCAGCTATTGCTCATTTATGAATCAAGCCATGCAAGCCAATGCCTGAGTTTAGACTGTAAGGAAAAAAAAGCAATGCAAAACCACTTTCCATGGGACTCCAGCACTCCTTCAGTGGAGAGCAGGATACTTCCAGACTACTACTATCAGACTCTCAGAGGAAGAGCTAATACTCTAGAGCTACACAGGCTTTGCGGTACAAGTTTCGAGAACGTGGAACATCTACGTATTATGGGAATTTCTTTCCCATGTATTTAACAGAAACCAGAGCTCAATTTTTTTTTCTAGACTAGATCCTTAAGTTTTTAGTGTCTGGCAGGTGCCCTCATAGTAAGAGAAAAAATTATTAAGATGCTTACAGATAAGCTTGAGGAAGCTGGAGAAGTCCCTGAGCTAATTTGTGACTCAATGTGAGACAGTGATTAGGCCCTGGTATAAAATTCCCCCTAGATTAGTACTTGCATCTTTAAGCTTAAGTACCTTTGAAAAGTAATTACCTCTTTATGAGCCCATTTGTAACTGTAGATAATGATACTGAGGTTATCCTACACTTGCAGAAAGGATCTATCACAGCTGACGAGTTTTACATTTACTGGCTCTATATTTACTATAATCCAGGTTCCAGGAAGCCCAAAACACAGGACAAATCTATTTGACAAACCAAGGATAAAGCTCTCTGCTGCAAGAATACACCAGATTCTCTCAACCAGTTCTGAAGCAATTTGAATTCAGCTGAAATGTGACTACTGGTCTCTGAAGCCTAGTGGAGATGTAACAGGTTCTTGTACATCTCCAATCCTAAAGTATTTTATGGGGCAGTCTGGTTTCAGGGACTACCTTTGATCACAGTACATATATTAAATCCTGAACATGAATTTGACAAGTCCCAGCAAATCTCTGTTCCAGGTTACCACAAAGACACTGCCTTTGAAGTGGCCGAGCTAACTATCTAAAATTGTGCTAATGCTGTAGGAAACAGTATGCATAGCAACCTGGTATTTTCAAGGATTCATTTTGCTTGTTTTTCAATGTACCAGCAAGCTGTAAATAGGAAGCAGGCAAAAGAATTTTAATGAATGGATGCACAAAATGTTACTAAGGGTAGTTTGGCATATGCTAAGCACTGCAGGGATCTTAGATTCGATGTTAACTGAGAAATCCCCGAAGAGGTCTATGCTCTCTGAAGGATGAACCCTTCAAAAGGCTATTATTTTTCCTTTAACCCAGATGTACAAAATAAGAAGAAATGCAATTTCCCATTCATGCTCATTCCTATTGCAAAACTTCCTTTTAAAAGAGGCAATGCTTAGCATGCAGAGTTCCACAGTCCT